GTGTGTGTGTGTGTGTGTGTGTGTGTGTGTGTGTGTGTGCATAAAACTAAACCCAAAGTAGACAGGTACTTAACCTGTATTGTGTGCAGCACACATTCCATGTTTAAGATGCTCATTACCCAGGAACACACGTGCTATGACCTACAGTTCTAAAGGACTCTACCCCGAGACAGTTCATTAGTGCTGCACTTACGTGATCCTGGCTTTTAGGTTTCATATGCATATTAGCTCCAGAACTTTCTTTATTGCCAGTAACTTGGTAATGTTTTCCTACTGATATTACTGACAACTTATTTAAACTCTTAAACTTCCTTAGGAAGGGTACAAGATCTTCTCTTACACAGGAAAAGGTGATTCTATACCTTTGAAACAATATAGTTGTCCACAAAAAGTTGCTCCTTTTGTGTTTTGTTTTAGTCAAATACTGGAGATACTGGCAGCAGTAAGAGAAGAAGATCCACTGGAATTAGCCAACACACTATATAACAACACCATTAAAATCTTTTTTTCCTGATACTTATTTGTCCGTGTTTCCTTTGTATGATGTGGAATTTCATAGTTAAACTGTAGGCGTCATTAGGGAAATCTTTCCAGCCGTTCTCTGATGCGGTAACACTGTACACTGCACCCTCACTTTGACCCATGAACTCGGAGCAGCACTGTTTAGGCTGTTAATGCCTTAGTTAACAATGACCACCTCTTTATTGTGTAATTTCACCAAAAGTCTGAAGGACAGTGATGTTTGTACACAGTACACCCTGGTTTGTATCAAAGCATGGCTGATACCAAGCCTGTTTCTCAATCCTCAGTCCCTGCCTCTGACTTTTGAACCCAGCTCTAAGTTGCAGCTCAGACTTCAAGTTTCTCGGTTGCTTCTAGCAGGTTATCATCCCTTAGTTAAAACAAAATCAATAGCCTTTCTATGCACATTCTTTATCTCGCCTTTAATTTTACACTGAAGTTCCTTTATTTTGCGTTTTCACTTTCCTACTGACTTTAAAGGAAAACCAGGGTCCAGCACTGGATACATTCTAATTTCCTGGAGGGAACCAGGGTCCAGCACTGGATACATTCTAATTTCCTGGAGGGATCTTTGGCACAGCTGACGCACCGTGTGATTATCTCTATTAAGAAGTTATTTGTTCAACTTTTGTCATAAAAACGTGAAAACATTTTATTCTATGTACAATAATGTACACAAATTTAAATAGGTCACCAAAGAGACCAGAAGTAATTAAAGAGGTATATTTACAGGAGCACTCACAGTAAACGGAAAATCATTCACAGTTTCAACATCCAGACTGCGTTTGTGCTTGGTTACACACTGGCGTGAAGCGTATCCCTCCATTTTGGGTGAACTGAATTTTAAACAGATACCTCAATGATTAGTAAATGCCGCTTTAATCGGGGTCACCATGAAATGCTGCTGCTGCTGCGCCCGTGTGCTGAGCGCCTCCGTCTCTCTCGCTCCGAGCACCCTCACCGCCGTCTGTGCTGTCACCCTCGTTCAGTTCTTGGTCGGGTCCAGCAGCGTCTTCTCTTAAAGCTTCCTCTGGATTCTGATTTTCATTGGGTGCAATAAACCCATTGTTGTTAGAAATATTTGAATTATCCTTGATATCGTCTTCGATGTACACTTTCTGATGGCACATGGGACAAGTGTCTTGAATGTACAGCCATTTCCGAAGGCAGAGTGCGTGGAAGTAATGGTTGCACGGTGTCATCCGGGCAGATGTTGTAAACTCATGATAGCAGATCGCACACACGTCGCCTATTTCTTGCAAGTGGCTCCCTTTTATTTCAGGAAGTGAATTGATTTTCTTAACAGCAGTTCTACGATTCATGAATGTCTTCCAGCCATTTTTTACTTGTAAGTAGATGTTAAAATATGCATGTAGGCACATCATACAAGCCCGGATTTTACTTCCCGACTCAAACATCATGGTATAGGCCCCATTCCCAAACATTACGACTCCAAAGATAAATTCGATAATGTTCCCTGTGGAGCGAACAAAGTAGACATAATCATCCAGCTTCTCCCAGAGGACATTGTAGTAGCCGTCAATCATGAAGAGCGCGTACACAGTGACAGACACTATCACCTTCAAGCAGAGTTCCACACAGAAGGCTGTCACTGCAAACAACCATGTATTTAGTGCATAGTGATGCCAGAGGACATAACTGAGTAAAACAGGAAGAATGAACAGGCAAGCAGAGACAAACAGCACAGGGAAATGTCTATGGAAGGAGGACACGTGGGAGGCACTGAGAGACATTAGCACGGGGTCTGTCATCCCGTGGATGAAATGCAGGACTGCAGTTAATAAAAGGCACATGTTTCTACTTAAGCGAATAAGCCTCTCTTCAGGCCTCAGCCCACTTAAGCCAGTCTGAAGAGCCAAAATGAAAAACAACACAGGTGCGACAAAGCCAAGCCGCCTGTCGTCTTCTTCAGTTGATCCAATGAAGGCCAATATTCCAAGGCCCAAGTAATGGGCTATTGAAGAAATGACAGCGCTCATGCCTAGAACAGTCAGTGTGGAGTCACACCCACTAATGATCAGATTGCAAATGAGGTCCCAGAAATCATCCCAAGAAATAAACAAGGACTCATTTTCATTTGCCATCCTTAAAATGTACATTAACACTGTAGCCTGAGCTGTGATCCTTGTTAGCCAGAAGACCCGAAGGATGTCCGGGAAACGAATCCTCTTCCATGTGTCCTCCATTAGTAACTGTAATCCATAAATCCGGTACATATGCCTCACTAACAGGTAAACATACCGTGTGGAGTAATAAAACCACTTCAGTTTCACTGCCAAGACAAGCACTGTATTTAATATGAGAATCAAAGACGAGGTGAAAACTAAAGTCTCTCTCATGTGTAATGGCAGCTCTGTGATTAAGCCGATTACAGGAACCAAGATATTCAAAATAATCAGCTGTGAGTAGATGGACTGGATCTGGAGCAGGGTGACATATCCAATCCCAAAGGTCAGCTGCAGGACGATGAGTGCCATCCACAGAGAGGGCCCCTTCCGAGGGAGCAGCTGGATTCCAAAAGCTGATGTGTTGTAGGCGCCATAGAAGTCAATGTGCAAAGCAGCGTAGTAATTCACCAGCACTGACGTTGCAGCTAAGAGAAAGGCCGAGCTGTACATGTAAAACTTAAACAGTGATCGCTGGGACAAGATCAGCACAATACTGGACACAATTATACCTAAACAAGAAAAGAACATTATTCAAATGAAGTACTTTAAAGCTGTTTTCATACAGCAATTATAACTTTCTTCCTTTATTATGGTATTTTCACAGTTGATAAACCTCAAGACAACTTAAGAGTTCCAAAGACCAGACCAACTAAACACATCATTTTAAAAAACCTGGCCCCATTTTCTGGTTTCTAAAGTAATTCTGTTTGTCACGAGATTACTAAGTTATTTTCAAGACAAATTTGTAATGATATGCACCTTTTGCTAAGTTTTAAAACTCAAAAGGACATGCCTACATAATTTCATAGTCATTGAAAAGCTTAATGCAGCACACACCACAAAAACAAGAGCACTGAGTAAGAATGACTGGAACCAAAGTCTGTTCCTACTTGGTTTCAGACCCGTTTCTTTAGGAAGGATTCTGTTCTTCAGGCACTCAGAAGCTTCCCACTTCTACTCAGTTCCCCTTTCTTCCAACTGAACTCCGAAGGCTCCCGTTTCCTAGACAAACACAGGTCACCAGAACTTCCCTGCACATTTTGGAAATGCTCTCCAAGGTCCCTTTCCTACAAATTACTGAATCACTTCAGATAGCAAAATAACAGAAAACCAAACCAGGTCACTCCCATCATTCCATGTTTCACCACTATAAATGACCCGATGATCCCTATCAAGTGTAACCACTATAAATGACCCAATGATCCCTATCAAGTGCCGTCACTATAGTCTGCCTAAACAGACGAGTTTTAAAGTGAAATCACCATACCTACATGACAGGAATGAAACAACTGCTCGCCTAGTTCTCCTAAACTCTAACTGCAAACCTCACCTGCCTTTTCCAGAACCTAATTTCAATACCGGTCCCATTATTCTAATGATGCTCTGGGCTCCACACCCTCAACTTGGCTTCCCAACACACACACACACACACACACACACACACACACACACACAC